GAGATGTGCATAAATATTGTGTTACAGTTAGTAATAAAAGACTATGATCCTGCTCGTTTTGATTGTCTGTTTTTATATGCCTAGATATCGCTGAGGTATTTATTGGGTTCGTTAAGATAAATACTTAGATTAATAGAAATGTTTCATTCATGATAGCATGATTCTCGAGGAAGGATTTAATAGACAATTCGTTATGGTTTAGTATTTATTTTTGTGTGTACATTAACAATATTTGTGAAGGATGTAGGCTAAAAATGAGCCCTCTGTCAGCTTTCAACAAAAACGCTGTCGAAACCCTTTCAGATATAACAAGACAATGTACGGTGGAATTATATATTTTATATACATAGGTCTACAGACAAATCTGATCCCATATGTCTATCTCTTAAGGATAACATACTATATCTATTTTAGTACTTTTAAAAATTGGCATTCATGAAGTGTTTATAGGAAAGCTATTTACATAAATATTGTATAAAGTCTTATCAAAATAAATAACTTTATGTTCAAGCTTACATCAGTTTCAATAAATTTCTTTTTGAATTATTTAATTCGGACGTATTGTTTGAAAGTCATCATAAGTTTATAACTCTCAAAATTTTATCCATCCGATAGATCAACTTTTCACATTTTTTTAAGTTAAACTTAATATTTTTGTGAGTTTACTATATTAAAAAATATTATTAACATAAAGGTATATCCGTTTTTCTAAGTTCAAACTTAAAATAAGTTTAACGTAGAAAGATGATGAAATTTTTGTTTGTCTCCATTTACCTCAAAAAGTAGGTACTCAACGTACTACACGCAACATAGGCTATTTTATATTTTTTGTAAAGCACCCCCGCGAAGCTGGGGCGGGGACCTAGTGTTATATATTTTTTTAAGAAAGTAAAAAGCCTTAGTTAAAGCAGATCCACCAGCGTACATTATTCAGGTACGATCAGCAATATTGATGGTGTACCCGAGGTTTCGTAAATTCAGTCCTAAACTGAACTGAACTGAATTTACTTTTTATTGATAGCTTCATTATGCTTAATAAGGTTTCTACCACTTATCATTAAGTCGTGTTTCTTTATTATCCATACAAAATAAGAATTTTGAATTGCTGTACTTCTATTTACACTCAAGTATGTTCTTTAGTTTTTAGTTCAGATATAGACAGAATTTTTGAACAACGAAAAATTATTTAACCTTTTTATAAATTTCAAAGCCTTTGAAAATACAATAAACTTTTTATGCTATACATTTTTCTATAAATAAAGTAGATAAATAAATTTATCGAAAACGGACGTGATTCTACAATCTTTATATATTATCCCCTTTCCTGCCATTAAACTGAAACAAGGATATCACAAATCTAATTCAAACAGGACATAAATCTACGGCAAGAGGAAAACCCGGCCCCAATAAATCTCAACGAACGTGGAATATTCATGACAATTAACTATCTCTGCATATGTGAGCTTGATTTGGTTGGTTTATATTTTAAAATATTTAATCGGAAAATACTGAAAATTACTTAAAAAATATATGAAACAATTAATGTAATGCAGTTACTTTTCACTAGATTACTGTCATGAAAATTAAGTTTATTATTTTAACATTGAAAAAGAAGTTTTACTACTTGCAATGCTGACATCTGTACGATGGTTTATTCGTTAAAACCTAGACGGAAAATAATAAGAGTATGTATATTAACATAATAATTTAAAAGTCAATGCGATATCATATAACTAATGTTACAAATAATTCAATGATATTTAATCAATCAAAATGTTGCGGTTACAGCTTCAATCACTTTCTCATATTAAAATTTGTTATAAACAATTATTTGAAAATAGAACCAAATTTTTTTCGTAAACAGAAAGATATAGTGAAAGCTATTGCTTTAGTGACTAGACAGCTACTTGGGTTAATGTACCCACTCTGCTACTAATGTAGAATTCCCTTATACTGCCAGTTCTTTATGTTGAAACCCTTTTATTGCTTTAACATAAGGTTTAAAAACTATTTATTTGTTGTATATTTTAAAATTTTAAACGTATGGAAAATTATAATGTGATATTATAAGGCAAATGGGCTGATAAAAAATGAGAGCTATGTTAAAATATTGCTATGTGAGTGAACAAAGAGTTTTCACATGAGACTAATATTTTTCGGATGTACAATTCGATTTTTATTTTTAATAAAAAACTATAATATACTTCCGACTTCCGAAAAGATTTTCAGTAAAATAAGGAAGCACCCTCAATTTATATATTTATTCTATTACGTGGTACAAATATTAGTAATGATGTTACTAATATATCTTTGTAACTAAAATAAACAAAGGTAAATAACCTCACCGTTGAAATAATTAAACAAGTTTTCCAAAAATGTTGATTAAAAATATATTGCGCTGTTTCATCTATTATCGAGGGAAATTGCCTAAAAGCCTTAAGTAATTTAATCCTTAGAGGTTTAGAAATAAGTGCTGGGAATTGTATTCTTAAAATATAACCTAATTATACATGAGATGATATTTAAAAAAAGACCAGAAATTGTTTATACAGATACTATTAAATTGTTATTTGTAATACGTTGTTTTGAAACATACTATATTAGATACTCATACATAAAATTATGTAAACTTTAAAATTAGTAGAGTAATAGATTGTTAGTTTCGTACATTGTAAACTAAAATAAATATCAGTAAACAGATTCCGTATAAGTGTATAATGAAATGAATATTTTACCGAAATTACTTATTTAACACATACATAATTACATAATTGTTCAATAATTCTTTCTCTTCAAATTCGCGAAGCCACCTATCTTCCCAATAATTATTAAATCTTCAAAATATACCTTATATTGAAACCATATATACAGTTATAAAAATTATTGTATAATATCTAAATCAAAATAATAGTATCGAAGATGTTGCAAATAAAAGTTAAGACTATTATTTATCTTAATTAATTAATCCACGTCCATAACACTAATTATTAATGAATACGTTTCAGCTTAACGATTATATGTGTATTATTTCTTCTTCACTATGCACATATTTCTTTTAAATAAATATGTGGTAGCTCTAGGTACTTCTTTACTGATAATTATTTGTTTTCATTATAAAACCAATGAGTGATTTGATCACAAGATAGTTTATTTTAATAAGTTTTTGAATAATATCAATAGCTTTGATTTGTAAATAAAAATTTGTACAATTGTCTTTATGGACGAAATTCAGATTTGTTACTTAAAAAAGCAAATATATCTTTTTATATATTTCTTTTTATCACGTTTTTTTAAAGAATGTTATTGTTAAAATCAAATCAAAGGGACTTTTTGTAATTACACTCTTACATATATATATTGGTGAATTAATTCAATTTTAGTAACTTGAAAAGAAGGGATTAAGGAATTTAAAGTTTTAAATTACTGCTCAGTAGTCAGGTTGTAAATGAAAGCTCCAAAATGAAAGCACCAAATAATATTTCAAACCTTTCTAAATATTAAGACTCGAAATATAAATTTTATAAGAGACTTACAAACATAAATAATGTGAAAGCTTTTAAAGAGCTGCTTTTCTCTTATTGTAAAAACAGTTATTTATCCTTTAATGTAAAAAATATTTTGTTTCTGAGTATAATTAAATCTTAAATAAAATACGAAAACCATATGACTTTTAATATGTTACTATTTTTAATAAATATTTTAAATAATTAAAAAAAAAGTAGGCTGTTGAAAATCCTTTACATCGTTTATGCTATTTATTGCGTTTTGATTCTGACTTTTAAGTGGGTTTTACTTTTAAGTATAGTTTTACTAAAAACATTGAATATTGAGAACAAAAATGCATTAATAAATGGAATATATCTTATTAACTTCTTAATATGATAGTATTGTCTGATATATTCCTACAATAAAACGTGTTATAGTAAATTTGTTGCAAGTTTTTTTTTTCTTATAACACTAAGGACTGCCAATGTCTTTAAGTCTAAGTAATTATAATTAAGCTTAACTTTTCGATTCCTGAGATTTACTTTCGATAGATGCCTTAAAGTAATGTTAAAAAAAATCATATAAAAGATAATTAAATAGAGTTATAGATGATTGATTTTAAAAGTAAATTAAAAATTATGACGTTCTCTTTAAAGCTCAAGCCAGATTTGTTTTATTTTTACGCATAAAATTATATCTTAAGGCTTATAATGATTCAGTAACAAACAAAGAATTCAAAAACATACTCATGGCAATCAAAATTATGAAAATTTAGAACAATAATATAAATCTATAACCTAACCCGTATAACAAAAGAAAATAACGATAACAAACATTATGATCAATACGAATTTCCGTTCCTTATTGGTTGCCAGAAACGAAATAATACATCTATCCACAATTGGCAACTAATTACTTAAATAAACTTAAGGAAAATAATATCTCTCTCTGAGTAAACACCTATTTTTTGAATGAAGTAACAATTCAGTAAATCAATATCGAAGCTAAAAAATAAGGGTTAAGAGAGTATTGAGATGGACCCCCTTGCTACACTGTATTCTTTAAATTTATTTTTTTTTCTTCTGTATAACTAAATAATATATGTAATGTATGTGTGTAACAAAAAATAAAAATAAATAAATAAAATCTAGGGAGTTTAGTATCTCAACGAAACAGAAAAGTTTTTTTTAGTTACATAATGTTAGTTATAAATGTAAAAATGGCCCCACTCTGTCCATAGATCACAGCATTAGAAATTTGAAAATTTAATACTAGTTCCATGTACGTGGCATCATAAAATATTTTAATTACAAAAAAAAGTTCTTTGTTTTCATAAGTCTAATCTTACGTCTTTTTAGAAGCTTTTGTCTTATTTTAAAGTAAGTATTTATCCTTTTTTTCCAAATTTAATCATCATAATCAGTTAAAACAACATAAAACTGATTTAATAGCTTGATTTATTATGAATAAAGTAAACATAAAATGCCGTTGTAATTAGTGTTGAGTGACGGATAATGAAGTCAGTACCACTGTGAAGGTCGGAAACTGGTCCCAAGTAAATCATGTACGGCTTTAAATATTCATGGAAGGTCTCTGTACATATGTAATGTGCATCATTTTATCATTACATTTACGACACACGAACAGTTATTGTTTTTCTATATAAACATATATTTCTTAAGAATTGTAAGATATGTATAATTCATAAAGTAATTTTGATTTTTTCAGCATCAATTTTCCGTAAGATCTTTAGACAATTGTTATTAATTTTTTAGGGTAGCACAAATTTACGGACCGCTGGTTCACTGCTTAAAATATCAGTAGAGTGAAGTGGAAATTAATGATTTTTTATGATGGGTAACAATAAATCCTTAATAAAATTATAATTAATAATAATACATATATACATCCATCTATCTATCTATATATTTTCTTGCAGTCAAGGGCTTCCCTCTAGTATCCTCTCCATCATCCCCCTGGTTCCTAGGGTCCATCCATCGCTGGGAGCTGGTCCGTCTGATCGAGCAGCGTGCCGGTCGAGCAGGCGGCTCTATGAAGACGAGAGGCTGAGGCGAGGAGAAGACCCTCACTCTTTGAAGTCACCACCACCTCACTTACTGATACTAGCAAGGCTGGACTTGTACCACGTAAGGACTGCCTTACTACTAATCATCTTAATATATGGTCAAAGGTCAAAACTATTATATAGTTTCTGTTGTTCCTGCAAATACTGTTTTGATAGTGATTTTATTCTTGTTGCTTTTTTTTATCGTAGTACTTACTCGTCAATTCAATGTCTTAGTTTAACCTAAATAAAATTGAATTTTATTTTGATATAAAATATATATTCAAAAATATTTGTGGTTCTCATTGATAGTTTTATTCATTTCATTTCTTTATTTTCAGATTTAAAATAATTCCTCAAGGTCCATCTCATGGAGTGTCGGATGATTTAAACATGTAATGTGGATTTAGGTAAGTATTTTTATATTTGATTTTTATAACAGTATTCACAACGAAATAGGTATTCAGAAGTAAGTTATTAAGTGTTATGTAGTCAGAATATATCAAAGCTTATTTTATTTTGAGTGTTTTATTAATTCGAATCAGTATGTAATATATGGAAACGTTTCTTTCAAACCTGTTCTGACGTTAATGGTATTTGATAAAACCGACCACCCGTTCTTTTAACCACATTCGAAATTATTAATATGTATTGATTTATTACTTTTATAATTGTTTCCGTTTATTTTGTGTTCTCAATAATAATTTTAGTAATAAATTTATAAGATCAATTTCCATAAGCCAATCATTCCGTCGCGTCGAGGAAAACGATAATATATTTCAAAGTAACATAAAATAATTATTCCAATAAAACTTGAACAAACTCTAGAGAATGCTGAATATTCATGATTAAACTCTCTCAATAAGCGGAACGGTTGAAATATTTCATTTAACTAAGTACTACTTTTTCTAATGGAGATCGTCGATTTTGTTCGACGTTTATGCTACAATATATTATTGTCTATATGTATGTATGTATACTAGTCGGTCTCATAATGAACTGGCCTGATATAGTTCTACGCAACATGCCGCTTTATGTTGTGTTGCATTAAAGAGTGCATTTCTTATGAACTTAATATAAGAAACAGGCAACAACTCAATAGTAATAAGATAAACTAACTTTACAGTTACTTTACAGTAACAGAAACGTCAGGAGTATGTAGTTTATAGTCAAAAATAAATCGAATTGTAAATCCGAAAATATAAGTTTCATTTAAATGAGTAGGAAAATCTTAGATCTCATTATTATTACAATCATGTTTTATTGTAGTTACGACTATATAGACATCACGACACAAATATTACAAAGTGACCAAAGAAGACTTTTTAATTAATATACTTCTAACAAATTATTATAAATAGTGGAAAAAATTTTGTGACATAAAGAAATTATACAATGAAGTGTGAATGTATTTGTTCTTATATATTTATGATAAACATATAAAACTGAAGAATGCTAGTGAAGTTAAAGTTAACCAAAGATAATAAGTAGAACAAAAATGTTTTAACCAGGCATTTTCCGAAGCTGAAATTGTTAGGACAAAACGAAGCCGTTGTTTTTATACCACTTTCAGGGAAACTTTATTGTTACAAAAATAAAATTTTGATTTTCCTGGCTACATTTTACTGTGTAAAACATCTATCTTTTACAGATTTTTTTATTTTAAAATATTATATCGAACAACATACAATTTCTTTGTAACCCTAGAGCCGATAACTTTCTTTCACAATAAGAGTAGTATCTCTCCATTCACCATGTCCAATATTCACTATTTACTTCAATTTTTATCTAACCTAATAAACGTTTTCTATTACCCCAGAGTTATTATTATGCTCTGGAAGCTGGGTAAGAGTTATAATTAGTTCGTTGTGCTTACCATTGTTTTCTACAATAAACTCTTTGATTCCAAACGAGATTCCTAATTTAAATTAAGCTATTTTCGTAAATAACAATGTACTATCTATCTAAACAATTGACAACTAACTGTCAAAAAACTCCCAGTTATTTGAAACGTGCTTAGAAAAGACTCTAAAACTTACAAAGAGGACATCAAAAAAGTTGAAATGAAAATAAATATTTGAGGTATCTTAAGCTTAAGTTTTTGCTCAATTTCTTTTACTAATCTTAATATAACCTTCGACGAAATGCTAGGCTGTATAAATAGTAAGATAACATTAAAAAATTATGAATGAAGTCTGTAGAAAGGTTCTCAAATTAAAGTAACCTGGGAAAAATGGATGATTTTTATACAAAGATGAGAATAAATTATTCTATAATACATTTTTATCACGTCCATGTGTCTTTTATATGATTTGAGACTTAATACAGAAGGATATAGGCGAGCACATGAGAGTAAAATACCTAATTCTATAAAAAACTAAACTAGATGAATTATATAAATTTTATTTTACCATTATTATCTTGTATTACAAATGTAGAAAGATGTAACAGTATTTTGAAATAGTACACGATTTTCATGTTTGGAAACCCTAGAAAATTAATTCATCCGTTTATTTTAATTTAAACTTTCTGATCATTGAAGGTAGAACAAAAGATTTGTTTACCATGGAATTGTCGATAAACAATATTTGCTCATTACTGATTCCCTATCAATTATGTTTTGTTATCGAAATATTATTTATATAAAAAGATTTAATTTTAATCCTGTGTTTATGTTTATATTTTTAATTGCACAGATTTCCTTAACTAGCCTTACTATGTATTTACTCGATGATACAAGTTTTTTCCATCACTAATATTCCTAATATCTTAACAAACCAAAAATAAATTGAAAATTCTAGTTTTGTTTATAACTTATCACATATTTAGATCAATAAATTTAATACAATCTATAAATTTACCGTCAATTACAATTTATAAACTTGTTGAAGCCACATTAAAATCATTAGCTCAATTAGGGAATATATTATGAAAATTAAAGACAACTGAAACTACCAAATATAATAAGGTCACTCTAAATGTGAAACAAAAAAGGTTTTGTCATACTTATTGAATAATTACAGGCTTAATTAAGTGTGGCTTTATTCAAATTCTTATATTTTAACATTAATTGATTTTAATAATGATCTGATCTGTTTTAGGTGTTTATGATTACTCACAAATCCACTTCAAAAGTCAAACGATGTGTCTAAAGTATATAAATTAAAATTAAATCAATAACAACACCTATTTGTCATCAGGTGAATTTTGTCTATCTGTCAACACAATGTAGATAATTATGATTAATATTCTACATTAATCTTTGTAAATTATAAACGAACTTTGGAAGCGTTTAGAATTTGTGACGAAAGTGATTAAGCAAGTTAAAAAGTGAATAAAGTTTAAATTATAAAAAATACAACTTAAAAGAAATAATAATATGTAAATATATTACCATGGGATTTAATCTAAATTTTATTTATAAATAAATTGTCTGTCAAATGTTTTCATAGTTATGAAAACTGTAACGACTAAATTTTAATATGTATCTAAAATAATGTTTATTTAAACATACGTCATTAAAAATGAATTTTAATAACCCTTGACATATAAGAACCCTTGATATATAAGGCAACCGTGGTCATTGTAAAGAACCAAAGCATCGCGATCATGTAGATAATAAAAAATGCATAGTATCCGAAAAACTTACTCACACTATATACCTCTTTTGTTACAACTTACACGCAAATCTTAATTTCAAAAGCTTTATTTTATTTGAAATGCCAAAAAATATTTTCATTATTATTTTAAAATGTGAGAACTTGGACACTTATTCTGACAAAATTTTATCACATTTTGCTTCGAATCCACAGTTACTCCAAAAGCAAATCTTTTAAGTCTGTCATATACTAAATCTCTACACAAATAGATTATCCCGGTAGTCGCTCGGATTCTCATAATCCTATTTACTGAGGGTCCTCATATAGACTGTCGGGATTGTGCAAATACTCTTTAGTGTTCTCGTAATGTCCCTTTTGTTTTTTCGTTTACTCTTTTAAACCTTAATATTTTCCCACCAAAGCCTCTTTTATTTAATAATTCGTAAGTTACAGAAGCTATTACAAAAGCCTTCCAGACGCTTTCTTCTTGATGCAGAATAAAATTATGTTGGATAAATTGTATATAAAATAAAAAGTAATTTTTAAATATAAACCAATGTATACTTAGACATCCTATCCTATCCTATCCGATCCTAGTGTTTTTGTTTATACCAAATACTTTGGCATTAATTAAGGATTATGTTTATTAAAGATATGCAAGGGGTTTTTGAATTAGCAACTACTAGAAAGTGTTTATTCTAAAAGTATTTTTATCATGAAAAATTTTAATGGAAAATATTTTTCGTCTACTACTGCTACTTCTACTGTAATATAAATACACTTCACAGATATTGTCTTAATCGATATTTTTGTTTATAAATTGTACTGTTTTCCTTTCGTTTAGAATTTATTTAAGTTCATTGAAATGATTGGTTTCTTATTGGTTAGTGCTTTTAACATTATTAAATTTCCAATATTAATAGATATATCTTTTATCTTGAACTGAATCAAGATGAGTTGATTAGAAAATGGAATAAAAAAGCGGAATTGAATTGACTGTACTAATTGAAAGTGTAGATCAGAAAATATTTTATTTAATACATTTTTATTCCAAATCAAGACAATACATTTATATAAAAATGCATTTTAATAAATATTTTGCTTTCGTAATTAAAACCTGCTTTTTTAAAAAAATATTTTAATGAGCTATTGAATTACTTAATTTTATAAAACTTGAATATAAGTTAACTTATTGCTTAAGAAAACTTAAAAATCGAAATGATAACATTCCTTGTTCTAACAATTTTTAATGATCAAACTTGAGTTTTATAAAAACCGTAATAGTTTGCCTGACTTCCATAAGACATAATTAATGAATCGCTTTTCTTAATTACAGATTGATATTCTTCGGTGTTGTAATAAATATTATTGTTCCTACAATTTCGTAAATCTACCTTTCAAGAATGAAACAGTATTTTGCCTAAAAAATCTCATTTTTCTAAACCATGCAAGCGTTATTGAAAATATAGTTTCTGTTTTTATAATTCAATACTGAGTTACAAATTATGCCAAAATTCCAAATATAACGCAAATATAATAGACACGTCTTCTCTGTTTTCAGATTTACGCAACATGCATAAACACAGATATTAGCTTTCATAGAACGTCTCTAAAAACTACATACACCGTTATATAATTAATATACTCGTAAAATCTTTTGCATTTCATACATGCACTTAGTATCAATGGACCTAATCTACCAGGTAATTAAGTGGAACTTAATTCTAATTGTTACATTTAATTGTAACTATTGTATTGTATATTTTAAAACAACTACAATAGAGAGAAAAGAATATATTTATATAACAAAATATGATTTTTGTTCACTTAATAATTATTTAATCGCATTGAAAGAAATTGCTTAACATAGGAAACTTGAAAGATCGACTATTTTAACAATCTATTTAAACATTCAAATTATTGTATGAAATGCTTATCAGTAATTACTATAGTGTATTTTTTACATTAATAATAAATCAAACTTTTAAATCAATGTCTGATTTCTACTTTTGCGTTCTTTTATTATGATCTATTCTATTTTTTATACATTCCCAACTTAGCAAATAGTCACATATCTAGCATTTTATTATGCTATCTTTTTGGATACGGACTTTCACCTTCACGCTATAACTAAATGCAATTAGAAATTTATGAAAAGCAAATTGGGACTTATTTGACGAGCCATTCTTAATAGTAACCTTTGGTTTAGTTTTAATATGTAATGTGTCCATAAGTATTAAGTATTCTATAGTTATGTTAGTCTTCGCTAAGAAATAATAAGGTTATTGAACGTAATAGATTGGTCTACCTACGTAAGTAAGGTGGTCTGTTTTCAGGACAAGAAGAAAAGTAGTCTTTATGAAGTTATCACGTGTGTAATTTATGAAATTTCTTATTTAGGAATAACACGAATGATTTTATATTAAACAGAACATCTATTTATTCAGAAAAGAACATTCTTGCTTATCAGAAAATATATAAATATTTTTTGCTAATTACTATTTTAAAATGAACTAATTAGTTTTTATAACGTGAAAGAGATTCTAATTATGTTGGTATTATATTAAACCTAGATAAAATATTTTCCATAGTTTTTTCTTTTAATAATGTATTGAAAAAGATATGACTTAATTAATGCGTACTTATTACAAGAATCAGACAATTTTAATCATTCAAAGTTCTTCTTTAATCATATGCAATTCAAATCTGAATAGTGTTTTTATTTGCTTTGCTAATGATCGCTCTAAGCATTATAAACATGGGGGAGTTATTAACTTGAACATTTATATTAGTTTTATATAAGTACGTTTATTGGAAATATGTATATGAAAGAACAATTATAAACTAGTGTTGTATTATTTCTACTTCTGATCTGAGTAAAACCACAATCTGTTTTTTATATTTCATTTTTACTATTCCAAAAAATTAAAGGTTTAAATAAATTCACATATATTTTATATATTACTTTACACTACTTTTTAAAATTCAGTGATTGGGGACTATTGGAATTCATAAAAGTAGGCAACGAATGTATGAGCTTTACAATGAAAGAACGTACAATCATAGTGCCACTTTTGCCAATTATGTAAGTAACTATTCTAAATTATTTAAAAAAATGTGCTTTTTGGCAAAATCTTTAACCATAAAAAATAAAATTAAGAATGCACATAACAAGATGAAAATGAATGGAAAATTATTGGTTGTGAAACTGGTAGAGTTGGCAGTTGCAACTCCGAATTTCCATAA